ACATTGAATATTTGCATTAAATTTTAGGTGGTAATTCCCCTTATCTTGGGGTAAAATATAGAAAGTATAGATTTATACATTTTCAGAAGCGTAGATATATTTTTAATGAAGATTTTTTTGAAATTTTTGATTTCGTGGAACATTTTTGCCTGAGCTGCATTTGAAATCTCCTATTTATTAGAAATGAACTATAATTCAATTAGAACTGTACTAGAACTTAAGTGGAACTGAACTGTAACTAACTAAAACTGAATTAGAACTGTACTAAAACTGAACTAGAACTAAACTAGAATTAAACTAGAACTAAACTAGAACTGAACTAGAACTGAACTAGAACTGAACTAGAACTGAACTAGAACTGAACTGAACTAGAACTGAACTAGAACTGAACTAGAACTGAACTAGAAACTGAACTAGAACTGAACTAGAACTGAACTAGAACTGAACTAGAACTGAACTAGAACTAACTAGAACTGAACTAGAACTGAACTAGAACTGAACTAGAACTGAACTAGAACTGAACTAGAACTGAACTAGAACTGAACTAGAACTGAACTAGAACTGAACTAGAACTGAACTAGAACTGAACTAGAACTGAACTAGAACTGAACTAGAACTGAACTAGAACTGAACTGAACTGAACTAGAACTGAACTAGAACTGAACTAGAACTGAACTAGAACTGAACTAGAACTGAACTAGAACTGAACTAGAACTGAACTAGAACTGAACTAGAACTGAACTAGAACTGAACTAGAAGAACTAGAACTGAACTAGAACTGAACTAGAACTGAACTAGAACTGAACTAGAACAACTAGAACTGAACTAGAACTGAACTAGAACTGAACTAGAACTGAACTAGAACTGAACTAGAACGAACTAGAACTGAACTAGAACTGAACTAGAACTGAACTAGAACTGAACTAGAACTGAACTAGAACTGAACTAGAACTGAACTAGAACTGAACTAGAACTGAACTAGAACTGAACTAGAACTGAACTAGAACTGAACTAGAACTGAACTAGAACTGAACTAGAACTGAACTAGAACTGAACTAGAACTGAACTAGAACTGAACTAGAACTGAACTAGAACTGAACTAGAACTGAACTAGAACTGAACTAGAACTGAACTAGAACTGAACTAGAACTGAACTAGAACTGAACTAGAACTGAACTAGAACTGAACTAGAACTGAACTAGAACTGAACTAGAACTGAACTAGAACTGAACTAGAACTGAACTAGAACTGAACTAGAACTGAACTAGAACTGAACTAGAACTGAACTAGAACTGAACTAGAACTGAACTAGAACTGAACTAGAACTGAACTAGAACTGAACTAGAACTGAACTAGAACTGAACTAGAACTGAACTAGAACTAGAACTGAACTAGAACTGAACTAGAACTGAACTAGAACTGAACTAGAACTGAACTAGAACTGAACTAGAACTGAACTAGAACTGAACTAGAACTGAACTAGAACTGAACTAGAACTGAACTAGAACTGAACTAGAACTGAACTAGAACTGAACTAGAACTGAACTAGAACTGAACTAGAACTGAACTAGAACTGAACTAGAACTGAACTAGAACTGAACTAGAACTGAACTAGAACTGAACTAGAACTGAACTACAACTGAACTAGAACTGAACTAGAACTGAACTAGAACTGAACTAGAACTGAACTAGAACTGAACTAGAACTGAACTAGAACTGAACTAGAACTGAACTAGAACTGAACTAGAACTGAACTAAAACCGAACTAGAACTGAACTAGAACTGAACTAGAACTAGAACTGAACTAGAACTGAACTGAACTAGAACTGAACTGAACTAGAACTGAACTAGAACTGAACTAGAACTGAACTAGAACTGAACTAGACTGAACTAGAACTGAACTAGAACTGAACTAGAACTGAACTAGAACTGACTAGAACTGAACTAGAACTGAACTAGAACTGAACTAGAACTGAACTAGAACTGAACTAGAACTGAACTAGAACTGAACTAGAACTGAACTAGAACTGAACTAGAACTGAACTAGAACTGAACTAGAACTGAACTAGAACTGAACTAGAACTGAACTGAACTAGAACTGAACTAGAACTGAACTGAACTAGAACTGAACTAGAACTAAACTAGAACTGAACTTGAACTGAACTTGAACTGAACTAGAACTGAACTTGAACTTAACTAGAACTGAACTAGAACTGAACTAGAACTGAACTAGAACTGAACTAGAACTGAACTAGAACTGAACTAGATCTGAACTTGAACTGAACTAGAACTGACAAACTAGAACTGAACTAGAACTGAACTAGAACTGAACTAGAACTGAACTAGAACTGAACTAGAACTGAACTAGAACTGAACTAGAACTGAACTAGAACTGAACTAGAACTGAACTAGAACTGAACTAGAACTGAACTAGAACTGAACTAGAACTGAACTAGAACTGAACTAGAACTGAACTAGAACTGAACTAGAACTGAACTAGAACTGAACTAGAACTGAACTAGAACTGAACTAGAACTGAACTAGAACTGAACTAGAACTGAACTAGAACTGAACTAGAACTGAACTAGAACTGAACTAGAACTGAACTAGAACTGACTAGAACTGAACTAGAACTGAACTAGAACTGAACTAGACTGAACTAGAACTGAACTAGAACTGAACTAGAACTGAACTAGAACTGAACTAGAACTGAACTAGAACTGAACTAGAACTGAACTAGAACTGAACTAGAACTGAACTAGAACTGAACTAGAACTGAACTAGAACTGAACTAGAACTGAACTAGAACTGAACTAGAACTGAACTAGAACTGAACTAGAACTGAACTAGAACTGAACTAGAACTGAACTAGAACTGAACTAGAACTGAACTAGAACTGAACTAGAACTGAACTAGAACTGAACTAGAACTGAACTAGAACTGAACTAGAACTGAACTAGAACTGAACTAGAACTGAACTAGAACTGAACTAGAACTGAACTAGAACTGAACTAGAACTGAACTAGAACTGAACTAGAACTGAACTAGAACTGAACTAGAACTGAACTAGAACTGAACTAGAACTGAACTAGAACTGAACTAGAATTGAACTAGAACTGTACTAGAACTGAACTAGAACTGAGCTAGAACTGAACTAGAACTGAACTAGTAATGAACTAGAAGTAGACTATATTCCTGACTGAGGGGTGGTGTGTATGACTTTTTGTGACATTACGGTTCACAGCATTTGTCATTAAATGAAAGAAAGAATCATAACATTAATCAGATTTGGAAAATATTTGTTTACTACTAAAAGTACGCCAATTAATAATAGTCTCTATCAAATGAGAATTACATTTACGATAAAATATGTAGAAACCTAATGAATATTGATACGCCTGTGTGTAGTTTACACCTGTCATCAAATCACTTGAATAAATATGAATTGTACGAACGATCTACAAACCTTTTAAATATACATACATATTTAAAATTCAGTGTAATACTTCCCGTATGCGGGCGAAAAAAAAAAATAAAAATTAAAAACAGAGACGTGATAGGTAAAGTTTGTTTTGAAATTTTGAGACTTATTTGTTTTGAGTACCTATGTAGTGTACTCCAATGTACATGTATGTGTATGTAGGTAGTATGTAGAAATTATGCAAATTTTCTCTAGAATACCGACGATAAATGAATTTATCACAAAGTAAACAAAATAATAATAACGATGTTGATTTTATTTATTAACAAAACGAAAACAGAAATGTGTGACTGATTTCATTTCGTTGAGTATTTAATAACGTTTAGATCAAATAATAAACGCATTTTAAGTTTAGCATTCTCAAGTGAAACTTCAACTCCTACAAACAATATGAAATCTTTTGCTATTTTCTTTGTAAGCATGTGCGGCTTGATGGTGGCCATTAAGGCAGCCGCCGTAGAACCGGTGGTCACTGAATTAGAGAAGGATTCAGAAACTGAAGTGGCTTTGCCCACAAATGAAGGTAAATATTTAAATTATTTTTATTTATTTTTATATTAATTTTTTGTAATTTACTTAATATTGCAGACTGCATACAACCCAAGGAAACCGGCCGCTGTTTTGCTCTCTTCTATCGCTTCGCCTACGATGTGGAGAAACGTGAATGTGTAGAATTCATTTATGGCGGTTGTGCTGGCAATTCCAATAATTTCGAAACTAAAGAAGATTGTGAACAAAAATGTATTTTGGAAAATAAACAAAACTCAGATGATGAAGTTTTGAACACCACTGTTTTGCCAACCAAAACGGAGACTGCAACTACTACAGAGAAAGTTGAAACTGCCTCTTCTTAAAGTTGAGAGATAATTCTTAAGTGAAATGTATTCGAATGAGTTCGTTCTCTCATTTGGATTATTTTAATTAGTATTATTAAGTAGAGTGTGATAATTTAGTGTCATAAGGTCTTTTTCAACTCAATTAAGTTTTATTTTGTTTGTGTTATATTTTTTTGTTATGCGAATAAGTAAATAAAACATTATTATATTAAATTTATTAAAATGTGGAGTGAAATATTTATTGAAAATGTTTGTTGAGATAAGTGATTTCATAATGATTTGAAATTCCAGTTCAAATTCTAATTATTTTTATTTGAAAGGGATCGATCAAAAATTATTATTCTCTTCAATAGTTCTATATTTCTGATCATATTTTCCTATGTCATATTTTAAAGACCTTAATTATAGTTCAGAATATAGACTAGTCTATGGTCCAAACTTTAGACCATCATGTAGTCCAGACTATATACTATACTATATTCCAAATTATAGTCTAAGCTATGGTCTATAATCCGAACTATAAATAGTCTAGACTATAACTAGTCTGGACTTGAATATTTCAAACATAAAATTCCGCTTTCAACACTCAGCATTGACCGGATTTGTCTAACAAATTTTTAGTTTGGCATCCCTAGTGGCAAAGTATGAGCTAGTATGTAATTATTTTATAAAACAAAATAATAGATTAAAATATTTATACAAATTAGAATGTATATTTCTATTATGTATCATTTACACAAACGTAATCAAACGTTAAAGTTTTAAAATTATAAAAAATGAAAATTTTTTCTCTAATTTTTGCCATTTTGGCTTTGGTTTCTTCAGCTGTCGCTGTCAAAAATGGTAAGTTATTTTAAAAATATTTTTGTAAAATTGTTTACGAGTTATTTTGTTTTATATTTTAGCTGTTTGTGGCTTGAGACATTCTATGGACGGTAATGGGCAAGGTTTAGGCTGTATGGCTTATTTCCCATCGTGGTCATACAATGCTGATACTAACGAATGTGTTAAATTCGTCTATGGCGGTTGCGGTGGTAATGCTAATCGTTTCGATTATGTTGAAGAATGTGAAGATATGTGCAAGGAATGAATTGTAATGCAATTTTTAATTTTTTTAAATAATTAAAATATATATTTTTTTGTGAATTTTATCAAAATCTCAATATAAATAAATAATAAATAGTTTTTTATAAAATTTCTGAACTAAAACTGAACTAGAACTGAACTAGAACTGAACTAGAATTGAACTAGAACTGAACTAGAACTGAACTAGAACTGAACTAGAACTGAACTGAACTAGAACTGAACTAGAACTAAACTAGAACTGAACTAGAACTGAACTAGAACTGAACTAGAACTGAACTAGAACTAGAACTGAACTAGAACTGAACTAGAACTGAACTAGAACTGAACTAGAACTGAACTAGAACTGAACTAGAACTGAACTAGAAATGATTTAGAACTGATTTAGAACTGATCTAAAATTGAACTAGAACTGAACTAGAACTGAACTAGAACTGAACTAGAACTGAACTAGAACTGAACTAGAACTGAACTAGAATTGAACTAGAACTGAACTAGAACTGAACTAGAACTGAACTAGAACTGAACTGAACTAGAACTGAAACTAGAACTAAACTAGAACTGAACTAGAACTGAACTAGAACTGAACTAGAACTGAACTAGAACTGAACTAGAACTGAACTAGAACTGAACTAGAAACTGAACTAGAACTGAACTAGAACTGAACTAGAACTGAACTAGAAATGATTTAGAACTGATTTAGAACTGATCTAAAATTGAACTAGAACTGAACTAGAACTGAACTAGAACTGAACTAGAACTGAACTAGAACTGAACTAGAACTGAACTAGAACTGAACTAGAACTGAACTAGAACTGAACTAGAACTGAACTAGAACTGAACAGAACTGAACTAGAACTGAACTAAAACTGAACTAGAACTGAACTAGAACTGAACTAGAACTGAACTAGAACTGAACTAGAACTGAAGTAGAACTGAACTAGAACTGAACCAGAACTGAACTAGAACTGAACTAGAACTGAACTAGAACTGAACTAGAACTGAACTAGAACTGAACTAGAACTGAACTAGAACTGAACTAGAACTGAACTAGAACTGAACTAGAACTGAACTAGAACTGAACTAGAACTGAACTAGAACTGAACTAGAACTGAACTAGAACTGAACTAGAACTGAACTAGAACTGAACTAGAACTGAACTAGAACTGAACTAGAACTGAACTAGAACTGAACTAGAACTGAACTAGAACTGAACTAGAACTGAACTAGAACTGAACTAGAACTGAACTAGAACTGAACTAGAACTGAACTAGAACTGAACTAGAACTGAACTAGAACTGAACTAGAACTGAACTGGAACTGAACTAGAACTGAACTAGAACTGAACTAGAACTGAACTAGAACTGAACTAGAACTGAACTAGAACTGAACTAGAACTGAACTAAACTAGAACTGAACTAGAACTGAACTAGAACTGAACTAGAACTGAACTAGAACTGAACTAGAACTGAACTAGAACTGAACTAGAACTGAACTAGAACTGAACTAGAACTGAACTAGAACTGAACTAGAACTGAACTAGAACTGAACTAGAACTGAACTAGAACTGAACTAGAACTGAACTAGAACTGAACTAGAACTGAACTAGAACTGAACTAGAACTGAACTAGAACTGAACTAGAACTGAACTAAACTGAACTAGAACTGAACTAGAACTGAACTAGAACTGAACTAGAACTGAACTAGAACTGAACTAGAACTGAACTAGAACTGAATTAGAACTGAATAGAACTGAACTAAAACTGAACTAGAATTGAACTAGAACTGAACTAGAACTGAACTAGAACTGAACTAGAACTGAACTAGAACTGAACTAGAACTGAACTAGAACTGAACTAGAACTGAACTAGAACTGAACTAGAACTGAACTAGAACTGAACTAGAACTGAACTAGAACTGAACTAGAACTGAACTAGACTGAACTAGAACTGAACTAGAACTGAACTAGAACTGAACTAGAACTGAACTAGAACTGAACTAGAACTGAACTAGAACTGAACTAGAACTGAACTAGAACTGAACTAGAACTGAACTAGAACTGAACTAGAACTGAACTAGAACTGAACTAGAACTGAACTAGAACTGAACTAGAACTGAACTAGAACTGAACTAGAACTGAACTAGAACTGAACTAGAACTGAACTAGAACTGAACTAGAACTGAACTAGAACTGAACTAGAACTGAACTAAAACTGAACTAGAACTGAACTAGAACTGAACTAGAACTGAACTAGAACTGAACTAGAACTGAACTAGAACTGAACTAGAACTGAACTAGAACTGAACTAGAACTGAACTAGAACTGAACTAGAACTGAACTAGAACTGAACTAGAACTGAACTAGAACTGAACTAGACTGAACTAGAACTGAACTAGAACTGAACTAGAACTGAACTAGAACTGAACTAGAACTGAACTAGAACTGAATAGAACTGAACTAGAACTGAACTAGAACTGAACTAGAACTGAACTAGAACTGAACTAGAACTGAACTAGAACTGAACTAGAACTGAACTAGAACTGAACTAGAACTGAACTAGAACTGAACTAGAACTGAACTTGAACTGAACTAGAACTGAACTAGAACTGAACTAGAACTGAACTAGAACTGAACTAGAACTGAACTAGAACTGAACTAGAACTGAACTAGAACTGAACTAGAACTGATCTAGAACTGAACTAGAACTGAACTAGAACTGAACTACTGAACTAGAACTGAACTAGAACTGAACTAGAACTGAACTAGAACTGAACTAGAACTGAACTAGAACTGAACTAGAACTGAACTAGAACTGAACTAGAACTGAACTAGAACTGAACTAGAACTGAACTAAAACTGAACTATAATTTAACTAGAACTGAACTAGAGCTGATTTTTTTTATAAATTTCGAATTTCTTGTTTGGTATCCCTTATCAGTCACGTACATATTTTCAATGAGCTCTATCTCAAACTTACCTACATACGTATGTATGTATGTACTTTGTATTTAAAATAATTTTTTTAAAGAGAAATAATATAATTGATGAAAACCCCAAATAAATTGAAGTGCATATTTTGCTTTTGTATCATATTCATATCAGTTTTTAAACATTTAAGTTTAGGAAAAGTTAAAAACCTTTAGCTTTTGAAAAAAATGAAAATCATTGCCTTAATTTTTGCCATTTTGGCATTGATTTCTTCAGCTGCTGCTATTAAAAATGGTAAGAAAAAATGGCTTAAAATATTTTGAATAATTTATTTGTTTTATATTTTAGCTGTTTGTGGTTTGAGACATTCTATGGATGGTAATGAGGATGGTTTTTCCTGCGATGCTTACTTTCCATCCTGGTCATATAAAGCTGATAACAACGAGTGTGTTGAATTTGTCTTTGGCGGTTGTGGTGGTAATGCCAATCGTTTCCATTCTCTTCAAGAATGTGAAGCTATGTGCAAGGAATAAATATTTCTATAGCTTTTTTTAATAAAAAGAAATTGTTTAATAAAAATTAATGACTAATTTCTAATTTCTGACTATTTTACAAACATGTATTAAAGGTTTATCGACAAATTTTATATAAAAAATTATTTTATAGACCTTTAATAAATGTTTATAAATAAGGCCCTATAAATGTCCGTTTTTTGCTAAAAATCTAATCTTCCACTTAAGCTCGAGATTTCACTCAATATTTGATTTGTTTAATAAAGCTTTTGGTTTTTAGAGATTCCGTATTTGTGAATCGAAATTTCTTGTCTGATAACCACGTATTTTCGATAATCTTTATTTTATATGCATGTATGTATTTGTTAATGCACGATATTGCTTATATATGTATGTATTTGAACAGTATAAATAAATAATTGATTTAAATCACAGACCAGTTAGAAATTTGCATCATATGCATAAACACTTTTAAACATTCAAGTTTAGTTGTTCTTGAAAAATGAAAATCTTTGGTTTAATTTTATCCCTCTTTGCCTTGGTTTCCTCAGCTACAGCTATTAGAAATGGTAAGCTTTTTGTCTTCAATTCTCTAATAATTATTAAAATATTTATTTTCGTTATACCTTTAGCTGTTTGTGGCTTAAGACATTCCGCGGATGGTTATGAGGATGGCTATAGTTGTCATGCTTATTTCCCATCCTGGTCCTATAACTCTGCTACTAACGAATGTGTTGAATTCGTCTTTGGCGGTTGCGGTGGTAATGACAACCGTTTCGATACATTGGAAGGATGTGAAGCTATGTGCAAGGAATAATAATTATTTGTTCTCTTAAAGAAATATTTCTTTAGTTGAATTATTTGTATTTAGAACAAATCGCAAACAAAAAAAATCTTATTATAATTAGGTCCATAGACTAATCATTGGACCAATTTTTTTTTACCAGAACTGAACTAGAACTGAACTAGAATTGCACTAGAACTGCACTAGAACTGAACTAGAACTAGAACTGAACTAGAACTGCACTAGAACTGAACTAGAACTGAAATAGAACTGAACTAGAACTGCACTAGAACTGAACTAGAACTGAACTAGAACTGAACTAGAACTGAACTAAACTAGAACTGAACTGAACTGAACTAGAACTGAACTAGAACTGAACTAGAACTGAACTAGAACTGAACTAGAACTGAACTAGAACTGAACTAGAACTGAACTAGAACTGAACTAGAACTGAACTAGAACTGAACTAGAACTGAACTAGAACTGAACTAGAACTGAACTAGAACTGAACTAGAACTGAACTAGAACTGAACTAGAACTGAACTAGAACTGAACTAGAACTGAACTAGAACTGAACTAGAACTGAACTAGAAACTGAACTAAGAACTGAACTAGAAATGAACTAGAACTGAACTAGAACTGAACTAGAACTGAACTAGAACTGAACTAGAACTGAACTAGAACTGAACTAGAACTGAACTGAACTGACTAGAACTGAACTAGAACTGAACTAGAACCTGAACTAAACTGAACTAGAACTGAACTAGAACTGAACTAGAACGGAACTAACTGAACTAGAACTGAACTAGAATGACTAGAACTGAACTAGACTGACTAGAACTGAAACTAGAACTGAACTAGAACTGAACTAGAACTGAACTAGAACTGAACTAGAACTGAACTAGAACTGAACTAGAACTGACTAGAACTGAACTAGAACGAACTAGAACTGAACTAGAACTGAACTAGAACTGAACTAGAACTGAACTAGAACTGAACTAGAACTGAACTAGAACTGAACTAGAACTGACTAGAACTGAACTAGAACTGAACTAGAATTGAACTAGAATTGAACTAGAACTGAACTAGAACTGAACTAGAACTGAACTAGAACTGAACTAGAACTGAACTAGAACTGAACTAGAACTGAACTAGAACTAGAACTGAACTAGAACTGAACTAGAACTGAACTAGAACTGAACTAGAACTGAACTAGAACTGAACTAGAACTGAACTAGAACTGAACTAGAACTGAACTAGAACTGAACTAGAACTGAACTAGAACTGAATTAGAACTGAGCTAAAATTGAATTAGAACTGAATCTGAACTCTCTTTAAATTTTCCATTTCTGATCTAATGTGTGGGTTTTATTACTTATCGCTCGTCCCTCATACCTGAAAATCAAAGAGTGTTTTGAAATGGCCTAGTTTTTTTTCTCTCTCTCTCTCTCTCTGCATCTTAGCATGTTTTGAAATTTGTTAATGTGTTAATTTTCTAGTAAAATTATTAGCAACACAACTTTTGCCATTATATTTATGAAGAAAATAAATACAATTTATAAAAATGTTAATAATGTTGTTTAAAATTATTAACATATATAAATAACATAAAATTTTATATAAAAAAATCTTCTTGGAAATCAGAAGCGTATCTTGTGATAGTTAGGGAATTTCTTATCTAAATATGTTTTCTACCTCTGGATACATTCATTTAAAGTTGTATAACTTAGAAATCAGACTAAGATCATTTAAATGTTTTTGGGCAAAGTTGAGAAATTTTAAAATTGGGGGTGCCATAAAGGGTCAAATTTAAACAACAACAATAAAAATACCAATTAACTTTTGGCGTTATTTCTAGTTTTTTTAATTTAAATAAAATTAAAGAACATTAAACTTGTCCTTGAAGAAGATTATTATTTATTTTTCAAATTAAAAACTTCTTAAAACATAAATACTAAAACAAATACACAACAAACAAGTTTATGTATATTTAATAAAAAAAAACATAATTCTAGTTAAAATCTGACACGTATTTTCACTTAGTAAGAAGCGTTATCAAAAATCTCTAATCGAAAAACTAAATAATGACATACAGACATGTACACGCGATCTTTGAAAACAAACAGTAACACACACACACACAATCAGTAATATTTATTTTAATTTATATATAAATGTGTAAATTAATCTTATATTTATGTATTTATTTAAACAGTAAATAAATAATTTGTACAAAATCCCCAAAAACAATATTTTGTGATGCTTAAGTTTAATCTTTTCCTATAAAAGTTTTTAAATCTACAAATTTTGAAATCAGTCTAAAACTAAACTTTGTTGAAAGTTGTTCTCAAAAAAATTAAACTTTAAAAATGAAAATCTTCGCTTTATTGTTCGCCATCTTCGCTTTGGTTTCCTCTGCCGTTGCTATTAAAAATGGTAAGATTTATGGTAAATACATATGTATTTCAAGACATTTTTCTTACAATTCTGTCGATTTTTTTCAGCTGCCTGTGGCTTGAAACATTCCGCCGACGGTAATGGTCTTATCGCTTGTGCTGCTTACATTCCATCCTGGTCTTACAATTCCGCTACCAACGAATGTGTTGAATTCATCTATGGCGGTTGCGGTGGCAATCTTAACCGTTTCAATTCTCAAAAGGAATGCGAAACTATGTGCAAGGAATAAATTATAAGAAATTTTTAGTTTTTTAATTTAAAACGGAAAGTGCGTGTGATTTTTTTTATAAATATAAATAATATTTAAAAGTTTAAATTATGGTTGTTTCTATTGATTTATTTGAAAAAAGTTGTTAATGCATTTCAGAAATTTTAGCAAATTGTGTGAATTCTAAACCAATACGTTTTCTGAAATGAACTAGAGCTGTACTAGAGCTGAACTAGAACTGAACTAGAGCTGAACTAGAACTGAACTAGAACTGAACTAGAACTGAACTAGAACTGAACTAGAACTGAACTAGAACTGAACTAGAACCTAGAACTGAACTAGAACTGAACTAGAACTGAACTAGAACTGAACTAGAACTGAACTAGAACTGAACTAGAACTGAACTAGAACTGAACTAGAACTGAACTAGAACTGAACTAGAACTGAACTAGAACTGAACTAGAACTGAACTAGAACTGAACTAGAACTGAACTAGAACTGACCTAGAACTGAACTAGAACTGAATTTTTTTTCTAAGAATTTATATTTTTACTAAAAAATTTAATTTAAGAAAAAAAGTAATTTTTTCATATTATGTATTCATAAAAAAACTCAATCATTCGAAAACCCAAATTTGAATTTTCACTAAAACTACAAGTTTTAACTGAAAAATTTTATAATAAAAGATATTCTGTTAAAGACCAAAATTCTTCTAAAAACTAATTTTTATTAACTCCCTTCAAATTTATAAATTTATTTTTAAATTTGTTCGCATAAAATGTAATGCATAGTTTTTGGCATTCTGATAAATTTAAATTGATTAAATTATTTCAAATTAATTTAATTGATCATTAAATAATAACTAGAGTTCGGCCAGCGGTCGAAATTCGACCAGAACCTATGCTGGAAAAAATGCATAAATATGCTAAAATAAAACCCTTTTTTTGTAGTTCAAATCTGCGGTAAAAAATTGACTTTATTGATATTATTATAATTTGCATTGATTAATGTTTTCTTTTAGAAAATGTGATGGGTTTTTGGTAAAAGTCCCATCAGAAGTTCAAAACCTCAATTGTCAAAATTAGTTATACAACTTGTTTTACAAAAGTATTTCAACTATTTTAAAAATAATAAATAACGAAAATTTCCTCTATCGACTTATTATCCCCTACATATTTACGCTACGTTCACAATGCTGGAGTACTCTACTGTACACACCAAGATATGTTAGCTGCTCAAAATACAGAGTGGAAATGTTCTAAATAATTTGTCAAAACAATAAAAATATTTAAAATAAATAATGTCTTATCTAATTATAAATAAATTTTATTTGGATGTCATTAGTAGTCCTTCCATCAAGTATATGATATATAAATTCTCCCTTATAACACTCGACAAAGACTTCAGCAGACCTACATTTATTAAATAAACGATGAATTGCTAAGTACGGTTAAACACTCTTCATCCCAAAAGACATGATTTATATTTAGCAGTTTTATCTATTTGTATATAGCATATAACCATCACCTATTCAACTTACAGTTTTCACTTTACACTACTATTTCCTAATTGGTTAGAATAACCCAAAAAAGAAGAATATCATCAAATCCTCGCTGTACATACCTGCATATAAGCGATATACCTAACCTATCCATTTATTGCGGTGTATCATGTACCGGCATGCCGAACTAAACTTTATTTACATATATTTTATACAGGCTTTTTTTATTACTTACTGACACTGAATCAATTCGTTAATCCATCATTTAAATCTTCCAAATCAATCAAAACTAATAATTATGTATCAATACATAACTTTTGACATTCTTATAGTTTTCCGATCTTTATTTTTAAAATATTCTACGGTCGTTAAAAAGTTAGGGAATTGAAAATTCGTTAATGTAACCGATATTTGTCATTACTTTACGATATCAATACTTAAAATGAAAAAAATTACTGAATTCCGGTACTGATGTCCTACCAATATTTTTCCAGGTCAAACACCAATATCAGTACATTTTTTGGCATATCTTGAGGTGTCCCCAAGCATTATTTACACATGTTTTTATATTCCCAGTTCGTTGTTTCCTCAGGAAAGTCCTTCAATTTAATTATTTTGAAAAGTTTAAATAACGAAAAACCTTCAATCGAAAACTCTAAATATAAAACTGAAGTCCTACTTCTTATAAAAATATTCGATTTGGTAACAATCGTAACGTTATTATAACAAAATAGATCATTATCTCATTCACAATTTAGCACTTTACACAAAAATATAAAACAATAAAATCCTATTTTCGCATTGCCTGAGCCGGTTTACATACTTATTTGTTTACAAAAATCTTATTAAAAACAACAAAAACAAATATCATGCAAAATACAAAAAGAAAACAGCAACAGAGAAGTTAAACGTTTCTGCACTCTTCTCTCTTTTTTTCAAAAAGCCGTGTTGTTTACTTTTTTGTTTTGTTTCATGCTTTGTTTGTTTTTAAATTCAAGAATACGTACGTGTGACTATTGTTTCTATGTATTAGTAACAACTTTAAACGCTTATAGCTCCTAAAATTCTGAAACGATCTCATTAATATATATATTGTGCACATCTGTGAACAAATACCTTTAAAATGATATATTTTTTGCCAAGATCAGATGTATACGGTAAGAGTAAAAGGGGTCACAAAAAATCGTCTTGCCTATTAATTATATAGATATTATGTATTACGATCCATTTTTAGTACCTTTTAAATCGGCCAAATCTGCTTCTTTGTGTTAATATATAATCGATACGAATTAAACCTTTTTTTTTATATTTTATTCAACTGAATATTACAGACAAATTTAATAGAAAATTATATTTCGTTGATATATTTGTAATTATATTTCACATATGAAGAATTATTCTTTCATGTTCTTCATCCCCCTCTGTATTGGGACTTTCAACACACAATTCTTCACATTCCTTCTCAGAAGTAAATCTATTATCATTACCCAAACAACCTGTATAAGTAAATGTCTCACAGCTATTGGTTTCAGCAATATAAGACCAGGCTGTAAAACTACCAGAACACTCAGAAGAGGTAACAAACGGCTCCTCGTAACAACTGTCTAAAATTAGCAATATATATAAAGAATTTATTTATGAAAATATTTTAATCCTTTTATATGTCTTTAGAACTTACCACTTCTAAAATCTTCTTCGGCCAATGTCAATACGAACAGAAAAGGCAGTAACAAAATTAAAATCTTCATATTGCTAGTATTTGTGGCTGAAGGCATGAAGTTCAGAATCAGTTTAATGTTTAAAATATAAAACATTTGTTCTTGTTATCTACGTAAGTTGAACTAATCAATTTTCCATTAATTATAATTCATATAATGACATTTTACAGCATTGTTTGGACTATTTTCATTATTATGTATGTTAACTTAGTTACCTAACCAAAGAGAGATTGAGGTAGAAGTGAACTAAAATTGAACTAGAACTGAACTACAACTGAACTAGAACTGAACTAGAACTGAACTAGATCTGAACTAGAACTGAACTAGAACTGAACTAGAACTGAACTCGAACTGAACTGAACTGAACTAGAACTGAACTAGAACTGAACTAGAACTGAACTAGAACTGAACTAGAACTGAACTAGAACTGAACTAGAACTGAACTAGAACTGAACTAGAACTGAACTAGAACTGAACTAGAACTGAACTAGAACTGAACTAGAACTGAACTAGAACTGAACTAGAACTGAACTAGAACTGAACTAGAACTGAACTAGAACTGAACTAGAACTGAACTAGAACTGAACTAGAACTGAACTAGAACTGAACTAGAACTGAACTAGAACTGAACTAGAACTGAACTAGAACTGAACTAGAACTGAACTAGAACTGAACTAGAACTGAACTAGAACTGAACTAGAACTGAACTAGAACTGAACTAGAACTGAACTAGAACTGAACTAGAACTGAACTAGAACTGAACTAGAACTGAACTAGAACTGAACTAGAACTGAACTAGAACTGAACTAGAACTGAACTAGAACTGAACTAGAACTGAACTAGGACTAAACTAGAACTGAACTAGAACTTAACTAGAACTTAACTAGAACTGAACTAGAACTGAAACTAGAACTGAACTAGAACTGAACTAGAACTGAACTAGAACTGAACTAGAACTGAACTAGAACTGAACTAGAACTGAACTAGAACTGAACTAGAACTGAACTAGAACTGAACTAGAACTGAACTAGAACTGAACAAGAACTGAACTAGAACTGAACTAGAACTAAACTAGAACTGAACTAGAATTAAACTAAAACTGAACTAGAACTGAACTAGAACTGAACTAGAACTGAACTAGAACTGAACTAGAACTGAACTAGAACTGAACTAGAACTGAACTAGAACTGAACTAGAACTGTACTAGAACTGAACTAGAACTGAACTAGAACTGAACTAGAACTGAACTAGAACTGAACTAGAACTGAACTAGAACTGAACTAGAACTGAACTAGAACTAAACTAGAACTGAACTAGAACTAAAACTGAACTAGAACTGAACTAAAACTGAACTAGAACTGAACTAGAACTGTACTAGAACTGAACTAGAACTGAACTAGAACTGAACTAGAACTGAACTAGAACTGAACTAGAACTGAACTAGAACTGAACTAGAACTGAACTAGAACTGAACTAGAACTGAACTAGAACTGAACTAGAACTGAACTAGAACTGAACTAGAACTGAACTAGAACTGAACTAGAACTGAACTAGAACTGAACTAGAACTGAACTAGAACTGAACTAGAACTGAACTAGAACTGAACTAGAACTGAACTAGAACTGAACTAGAACTGAACTAGAACTGAACTAGAACTGAACTAGAACTGAACCAGAGCTGAACTAGAATTGAACTAGAACTGAACTAGAACTGAACTAAAACTGAACTAAAACTGAACTAAAACTGAACTAAAACTGAACTAGAACTGAACTAGAACTGAACTAGAACTGAACTAGAACTGAACTAGAACTGAACTAGAACTGAACTAGAACTGAACTAGAACTGAACTAGAACTGAACTAGAACTGAACTAGAACTGAACTAGAACTGAACTAGAACTGAACTAGAACTGAACTAGAACTAAACTAGAACAAATATTGGAACTTCAGCCGAATAATTTTGTTTGAAATCTTTTTAGTTTTATTTTCAAAATAAGTTAAAATCTATTATAAATATTTCAAATGACACCTATGGTCCATCATCGCTCTCATCTTCTGTATTAGACCTTTCGACACACATTTCTATACATTCCTCTTCACTATCAAATCGATTTGCATTACCCATACAACCAGTATAAATAAATTTTTCGCAAGTATTAGTTTCATTCATATAAGACCAGGTGGTAAAATTGCCGAAACACTCTTTCGGTGAAAATAAAGGCTTCTCGTAACAACTCTCTAAAAATGTGTATTCAAATATTTAGAATATCGAAAAAATTATGAAAAGTTACAAACTTACCACTTTTAAAATCTTCTAACGCTAAAGTTAATATAAATACTAAAGGAAAAACTAAAATATGATGGTTCATATTGTACGTGATTGTTAATTTAGTTGTTTTAAATATATGAATATCTAAAATGATTTTTAACATTTACATACTATGAATATTTTTTTCATTGATGTATCCAATTTTAAGTTGAACGAATTCATTTTCCGTTTAAATAGAAAATTTTCCATTTAGAATTAAAATTTGTCTGGCATATATACACTATATCGGCACAACACATTTAGATCCATGTTAAATTACCGATTAATTTTACTCTTTTTTAAAGCGCTATCTCTCTCTCTCTCCTAGTTATTCTCTGATAATAACTCGCGTATTTGCTAGTTTAGTGTCAAAATGTGTTATGTCCATTTTAAATTACAAAATTTTGTAAAATTTGTCCTAACTGAAATTATTACTTACTTTTACTTAAAATGCTTTCAAGAAAAAAGTCTTAATTTTTTGTGAAATTTTATTATGATTTTTATTATATATTTATTAACTAATCATTTATTAGATTTCCTAAATATTATACAAGTACATAATGACTCGTATATTCATATAGCATAAGATGTTTTAAATTATTATATTTGTAAATACATAATTTTAGAGATATTTTTCTTTTTGAATCTATTATATATATTTTCTCGTTATTACTATAAGTTTACTTCAATATATTTTTGGTTTTAGACAAAAGATTTTTTACATTTATTTAAATAATTTTGAAAGAAACTATATTTTATTATTTATTCTTAAATTTTTAATACATTATAATTATTATTATTTTTTTTTTTTGCTTTTTTATATATAAGGCCCTTAACATTATTAATTGCAAAATGGGAATATTCAATTCGTAGTGACTTTTTCAAAGCCCCAAATTCAAATGTTAAATATATTTAACAGTTTTGTTTAGATTATAAATTGGGTATATTAGAAAGAATATGGAATATGATAACGGGGGCTTGAGTGAAAAAGTCAGCTCAAATGTAAATTTCCCTACTTAATATATTTTTTATATACATGGGTCAAGTTTTCTTTTTAAATTATTACTTTTATTTATTTCTGCCATTAAACTAGAACTGAAATAGAACTGAACTGGAACTGAACTAGAACTGAACTAGAACTGAACTAGAACTGAACTAGAACTGAACTAGAACTGAACTAGAACTGAACTAGAACTGAACTAGAACTGAACTAGAACTGAACTAGAACTGAACTAGAACTGAACTAGAACTGAACTAGAACTGAACTAGAACTGAACTAGAACTGAACTAGAACTGAACTAGAACTGAACTAGAACTGAACTAGAACTGAACTAGAACTGAACTAGAACTGAACTGGAACTGAACTGGAACTGAACTAGAACTGAACTAGAACTGAACTAGAACTGAACTAGAACTGAACTAGAACTGAACTAGAACTGAACTAGAACTGAACTAGAACTGAACTAGAACTGAACTAGAACTGAACTAGAACTGAACTAGAACTGAACTAGAACTGAACTAGAACTGAACTAGAACTGAACTAGAACTGAACTAGAACTGAACTAGAACTGAACTAGAACTGAACTAGAACTGAACTAGAACTGAACTAGAACTGAACTAGAACTGAACTAGAACTGAACTAGAACTGAACTGAACTAGAACTGAACTAGAACTGAACTAGAACTGAACTAGAACTGAACTAGAACTGAACTAGAACTGAACTAGAACTGAACTAGAACTGAACTAGAACTGAACTAGAACTGAACTAGAACTGAACTAGAACTGAACTAGAACTGAACTAGAACTGAACTAGAACTGAACTAGAACTGAACTAGAACTGAACTAGAACTGAACTAGAACTGAACTAGAACTGAACTAGAACTGAACTAGAACTGAACTAGAACTGAACTAGAACTGAACTAGAACTGAACTAGAACTGAACTAGAACTGAACTAGAACTGAACTAGAACTGAACTAGAACTGAACTAGAACTGAACTAGAACTGAACTAGAACTGAACTAGAACTGAACTAGAACTGAACTAGAACTGAACTAGAACTGACTAGAACTGAACTAGAACTGAACTAGAACTGAACTAGAACTGAACTAGAACTGAACTAGAACTGAACTAGAACTGAACTAGAACTGAACTAGAACTGAACTAGAACTGAACTAGAACTGAACTAGAACTGAACTAGAACTGAACTAGAACAGAACTAGAACTAGAACTGAACTAGAACTGAACTAGAACTGAACTAGAACTGAACTAGAACTGAACTAGAACTGAACTAGAACTGAACTAGAACTGAACTAGAACTGAACTAGAACTGAACTAGAACTGAACTAGAACTGAACTAGAACTGAACTAGAACTGAACTAGAACTGAACTAGAACTGAACTAGAACTGAACTAGAACTGAACTAGAACTGAACTAGAACTGAACTAAAACTGAATAACGTAGTGTTTTGTGATAGGTCCAATCACCATCTTCATCATCTTTCATAATAAAATGAAGTCTTAGAATTTGGCACATAATTGCAAAGTCGATTTTACTTAAAATTAAAAATATATATTTTTTTACAATAATTTTCAAATAATTATATACTAATAGTGTTAATATTATTTTTTAAAAAAATTAATATTGGAAAAAACTTAATTACTTTAAATATACAAATAATGAAAAGAAACCTTTAGCTGTATTACGGAAATACTCATCATATTCATTCAGTTTTGGTTATAATTGCCCCATTGGTACAATTCAGCGGTGTATCTTTGGAGGAGTTGGAAGTTTGAGTTGGTGTAGTCGGTGGTGAAAGTTGACCAACAGTATGCACCTGATGTTGCTGTTGTTGTTGCTGCAAAAGTTGCTGCTGCTGTTGTTGATACGAGGGTGGTGTTTGATTTGAATTGGGTGATTGTGATTGTTCCATTAAACTGGTTACTGAAGGCATCATATTGGCAACTAAACCATTCATAGTACTGGCGGTCATATCCTGAGCTTCATTTTTCAAACGAACACTTGCTGCAGCGGCAGCAGCATGATGATGAGCATTAGTTAGCGTAGAGTGGTGATGAAATGATAAAGGCGGCAAATGAAGGCCGGGAAAAGCTAAACCGGCAGCAGCGGCGGCATGTAGCGATTGTAATAAGGCAGCAGAATGTTCTTGAGCTTTACGTCTCAATTCGGCAACGGATGAAGAACGTGGATCACAATTGGAATGTGTGGAATGAGGTGGTGATTCTGGTGAGCTGGTGGCAGAAGAACAGGAGACTGCCACCGAATTGGCAGAGGAATGAGGAGGCTTTAGGGTGCAACAAGAACAAAGTCCTGGAAAAGAGGGTACACCTGGAAGGAAGAACAAAAGGAAATATTAAAACTTTGAAGAGCTTGATTGCTTTTAATTTGATAAAAAGTTTTGTTATTTTGTAAGAAGCAGCTGCTTCACTAATTTAACTAAAAGCTTATAAAATCAAAGTTGTCAATGTCTATAAAGTTTAGAAAATTTGTCAGCCAGATATTGTCTTACAAAAACATAATCAATCGATAAAGATTTTTGTCAAGGACATTAATTGCAATTGACATGGTGGAAAACATTGATTGAGTAGCTGCTGTCTGTTGGGAAATTTTCAATTTTATTACTAAAAGAAGATGAAATTTTTTTAAATCACTTCCAGTTTTATGCCACAATTAGAATTGCTTTCTTAAGGGGGTGGTTGCTTTGAGGGGAAATATCCTATTACATTAAGTTTATACAAATTTGATAACTTACCTTTTAAACCAGGAAATAGAGGCTGTTGTGAAAATTGTGAGCTAAGTGAAGCCAAATGTGGTGGTAAAAATAATGATGTGGCATGATTTGGACGCGCTGTTGTACCAGCGGCACTAGCTATAGATGTTGGTGTATCGTTGAGTACAGGTCGGAAACCACAGTTACTGCAAAGAAATTAGAAATAATTGTTATTATTAAAATATTCAAAAATTGAGTAATTTTTAAAATGACGACATTAAAAACTTTCTAACTTTAGTAATTTTTAAGAGATCTTTATAAAATTTGTCGTAGACATAGAGGAGAAGTTAAACTTTCATAAAAAGATCTTTCGAAAAGATTTGTATAAAGTTAGGGCCTTCTACATAAGATCAAAGTTTGCTACTTTTGCCTTTGAACTTATTTCAGCAGACATTTTTAAAAAATTCTTTTTAATTATTCTTAATACTAGAAATATACAACTAATTAATTGTCTTAATTTTCATTGTCTTATTTTATAAGTCCTTAAATTTATAGAAAAATCTCTTTCTTAAAAATGTTTTTTAAAAAAAAAAACAAACAAAATAATGAAATTTTTAATAACCAAATTAAAGCAGTATTAAATTATTCATTAAGTAATTAATAATAATGTACAATGAAATATGAAAAAAACAAAATAAGTATATCAACACAATCAAATTTTTAACAAGTGGATGAGAGAAAACAAAAAAAAAAAAAAATACACAACCATTCGCATACAAACACACACACTTGTGTTCATGAATTTTCCAACGGTTTCATTAAAACGGAAATTAAATTTAACATCCTTCGAAAGTTAAACATATAGGCAGGGAGAGAAAGAGTAAGAATTTTTAATTTACATACACACACTCCTACAAGCCTCTCCCTATAAGAAAACATGTGTTTGGCTGTATATGCAAATTAACCATGTATGTACATATGTATGTATGTATTTGGCCCAAAGGCTTTGATTTCTTTTTTTTTATATAAGAGCATGTGTGAGTGTTAAAAACAACAATAAAAATGAAAAACTTTTTGACGTAATAATTTCAAAAATCTTTTAAAAAGTTTGATTATTTCCTTTTTTTATTTTTGCTAATTAAAAAAGTTAGCGTGTGAAAATTTTTAATTTTATTAATTAATTACAAAGAGTGAAAACAAAAAACACAAAAAAAAAACGTTAAAACTTTGTCTTAAATTTGTTTAACAGAGAATTAAAATGCAAAGTAGAAATCTTCTTTATTCATTTGTCTTTTATTTTCTATCCTCCAGACCAATTAGTCCTGACACAACAACTGTAGCAAACACTTGTAAAATCACAAGATTTACTTTCTTCATTTTGTTTTATTTCGTAATTTGTATGAAATCTCTCTCTTTTGTCTTTATTTATTTATTTACTTGTACTTCTCAGTACAGTGGGATGAACTAGTTTTCTAGAGAAGACAATACTTTAATATAGACTAGAGTGTGGACTAGACTATAAACTAGACCATAGATCAGATTATGGACTCGACTATGGACTGGGCTATAGACTAGACAATAGACCAGGCTATAGACTAGACTATAGACCAGATAATAGACCAGACTATAGACTAGACTATAGAATAGAATATAGACTAGACTATAGACTAGATTAGACTATAGACTAGACCAGACTATAGACTAGACTTTATACTAGACTAGACTATAACTTGACCAGACTATAGACTAGACTATAGATTAGACTAGACTATAGACTAGACTATAGATTAGACTATAGACTAGACTATAGACTAGACTATAGACTAGATATAGACTAGATATAGACTAGACTATAGACTAGACTAGATAGACTAGACTCTATAGACTAGACTATAGACTAGACTATAGACTAGACGATAGACTAGACTTAGACTAGACTAGTAGACTAGACTATAGACTAGACTATAGACAGACTATAGACTAGACTATAGACTAGACTATAGACTAGACTATAGACTAGACTATAGACTAGACTATAGACTAGACTATAGACTAGACTATAGACTAGACTATAGACTAGACTATAGACTAGACTATAGACTAGACTATAGACTAGACTATAGACTAGACTAGACTAGACTATAGACTAGACTATAGACTAGACTATAGACTAGACTATAGACTAGACTATAGACTAGACTATAGACTAGACTATAGACTAGACTATAGACTAGACCTATAGACTAGACTATAGACTAGACTATAGACTAGACTATAGACTAGACTATAGACTAGACTATAGACTAGACTATAGACTAGACTATAGACTAGACTATAGACTAGACTATAGACTAGACTATAGACTAGACTATAGACTAGACTATAGACTAGACTATAGACTAGACTATAGACTAGACTATAGACTAGACTATAGACTAGACTATAGACTAGACTATAGACTAGACTATAGACTAGACTATAGACTAGACTATAGACTAGACTATAGACTAGACTATAGACTAGACTATAGACTAGACTATAGACTAGACTATAGACTAGACTATAGACTAGACTATAGACTAGACTATAGACTAGACTATAGACTAGACTATAGACTAGACTATAGACTAGACTATAGACTAGACTATAGACTAGACTATAGACTAGACTATAGACTAGACTATAGACTAGACTATAGACTAGACTATAGACTAGACTATAGACTAGACTATAGACTAGACTACAGACTGTACTAAAACTGAACTAGAACTGAACTAGAACTGAACTAGAACTGAACTGGAACTGAACTAGAACTGAACTAGAACTGAACTAGAACTGAACTAGAACTGAACTAGAACTGAACTAGAACTGAACTAGAACTGAACTAGAACTGAACTAGAACTGAACTAGAACTGAACTAGAACTGAACTAGAACTGAACTAGAACTGAACTAGAACTGAACTAGAACTGAACTAGAACTGAACTAGAACTGAACTAGAACTGAACTAGAACTGAACTAAACTGAACTAGAACTGAACTAGAACTGAACTAGAACTGAACTAGAACTGAACTAGAACTGAACTAGAACTGAACTAGAACTGAACTAGAACTGAACTAGAACTGAACTAGAACTGAACTAGAACTGAACTAGAACTGAACTAGAACTGAACTAGAACTGAACTAGAACTGAACTAGAACTGAACTAGAACTGAACTAGAACTGAACTAGAACTGAACTAGAACTGAACTAGAACTGAACTAGAACTGAACTAGAACTGAACTAGATCTGAACTAGAACTGAACTAGAACTGAACTAGAACTGAACTAGAACTGAACTAGAACTGAACTAGAACTGAACTAGAACATACAAATCTTATGAAAGCGTTGTAAAAGTCTCAGCAAAATATTGTCTCACTGTAATTAAGCCTAAAGCTAATTGTTGTTGAAAATGAAATTGCTGAAGCTTTTTCAATTTGTTCTAACTTTTTTGAGTATTTAGTTGAGTTTTTTTTTTTTTTGTTCTTGACGAGGAGGAGATGTATGATGACTACGATGATGATGTGTGCTAGCACGTTATACATTCGGAGTGCTGACAATATGCCTGAATGTGCACATAAGAAAATCTAATTACGACCAAAGGATGAGTGCTTAATTATACGTAAACAATTTTGTTTTTACTCCGAGAGTCTCGAGCAATGAAAATGTACGTATGTATGTAGGTGTGTGTTTTTTTCAAATTCACATTTGAGCTTTCCATTGCCAAGTACTGTTGGCAAAAATTCTTAATGAAATGTGGGGAAAGTGTAGACAGAAAAATGTTTCAAAGATTTTTCCACATACACAAATCTAAGTTTTTTTTCCAAATGCAATTAACTACATTTAGGGGTGTAATTATAGCAGTAACTAGCTATTAAGGATTTTTGAAATTCACTTTATTAATATATTTTATGGAACTTATGGATTAAGGAGCATGAACTTTTTTTGTATGCTTAGAAATATTTCCATATCTGCTTTATGTAATGCAAAAAAGCCTTTTTATTATATTTGCCCTCTAAGTGGAAAACCCCTAAACTTTAGCAATCATGTCAGTACTACCCCTATGTGTTCTTGTTAACTTGTTAAATCAATTTGAAACACAAAATTCCTATTTAAGTCTCTTTTTCTTTGGTGAATGTTTTTCTAGTTGAATTTTGAGTATGATTAAATATCCTACGGCCAACAACAACAACAGCAGCAACGATAAAATACCATTATAAAATGCAAAAACCATCAGAAATTACTCCTGACTTCCCCCCAAACCAACCAACCAACCATACTCCACCCACCATCACCTTATCATGACCATCAACGGCAGCATCGTCATTTTAAATTCTCTTTCTTTCTTTCTAAATTGTGTACTAAATAAAAGTGAACAAAAAAAAAAAAAAAAAAAAACAAAAATAATTTCATTTGAAAAATATGAATAAAAACGAAATGAGAAAAAAGTTTATTTAAACTTCATAACCACTAGGAAAGAACAGAATATGGAAAACCAAAAATACCCCCGAATAAGATTAAAGAAAAATTTTATAAATCGCGAAAATATGTGAACATTTTTTTTTTTGAATTGAATATGTTATAAAAGCGTGGAATTATATAATGAAAATTTCATTTCAATTTGTGGCTTTTACGATTCATTTTTGGTTTTTCACTTTTAAGTTGGCAGTTGATATAAAATCCATTCAAATAAAATAAATTAAATGACATGAATTACGATGACATTTGGTAAATGTCGTTGATTTCAGTATATATAATTATTTTGTCATGGAGTTTGTAACGCTGTGGATTGGTTAAAAATTAACCTTTCAATTGTCAATCTAAAAAGATACTAGAGTTTAGTCTATAGTTCAGACTATAATCTAGTTTATAGTATTATATAGTCCATAGTCTAAACTGAAGTCTAACCTATGATTTCAAATATAGTCTAATATATATCCATTGAGTTTGGTCTATACAAGACTTTATTCTAGATTATAGTCAGTCTTTAGTCTATTTAGCCTGGACTAATGCCAGTCTATAGTCTGCACTAACTATAGACAAGACGATAGTCTATAATCTGGACTAAGGCCCGTCTATAGTCCGGACTATAGTCTGGACTAAATTCAGACATTAGACGAAACTATACAACAGTCACAGACTGTAGTCCAAACTATAAACTAGACTATAGT